TATTACAGTTTAACTTTTTAAGTTGTATGTTGAGTAAAACATTTGCTGAATATAAACAGGCATCGACTACTGAAATGCGCAATTCTAATTTTCATGTATGGTCTGCTAATTTATTTTTACTGACCAATGAGCAGCCCAGCTTGACGGCAGGCCATAACCGCAGCAAAAACAGTCGAACGGTCCTCAGGGGCTGTATTTCTAGTCAAGAAGCCAAAGATCGATGATCCAGCGCCAGTGCCAATACCTAGAGCATTAGAAACTGGTTAAATCACTAAAGCATTAAAATAGACATAACCTTAAAGAATTAGACTGAAACTTCACCTGCAACTAGATGACTGCAGAGCAATAACCATTTGGAGTATCTCATAAAATGCATGAAGTTACCTAAAAACAGACCGAAAGAGATGTTACCCACAAGCCACCAACATTGCAAGTGTTGTCTTCATTTAAAGGAGTAATTCGTACATTTCTTCATCAGATTTGGAGAAATGTAGCATTACATCACTTGCTCACCAACGGATCATCTGCAGTGAATGGGTGCCGTCAGAATGAGAGTTAAAAGCATCTTAATGATGGATTTGTTTTTTATAAACACGCAGCTTTTGGCTTCACAAGATGATAATTGATGGACTGGAGTGGCGTGGATTACTTGTGGATTATTGTGATGTCTTTATCAGCTGTTTGGACTCTCATTCTGATGGCACCCATTTACTGCAGAGCATCCACTGGTGAGACACTGATGTAATGCTACATTTCTTGACTCGGACTGCAAGTTAAAGACTTCAGACTTGACTCGGACTGCAAGTTAAAGACTTCAGACTTGACTCGGACTGCAAGTTAAAGACTTCAGACTTGACTCGGACTGCAAGTTAAAGACTTCAGACTTGACTCGGACTGCAAGTTAAAGACTTCAGACTTGACTCGGACTGCAAGTTAAAGACTTCAGACTTGACTCGGACTGCAAGTTAAAGACTTCAGACTTGACTCGGACTGCAAGTTAAAGACTTCAGACTTGACTCGGACTGCAAGTTAAAGACTTCAGACTTGACTCGGACTGCAAGTTAAAGACTTCAGACTTGACTCGGACTGCAAGTTAAAGACTTCAGACTTGACTCGGACTGCAAGTTAAAGACTTCAGACTTGACTCGGACTGCAAGTTAAAGACTTCAGACTTGACTCGGACTGCAAGTTAAAGACTTCAGACTTGACTCGGACTGCAAGTTAAAGACTTCAGACTTGACTCGGACTGCAAGTTAAAGACTTCAGACTTGACTCGGACTGCAAGTTAAAGACTTCAGACTTGACTCGGACTGCAAGTTAAAGACTTCAGACTTGACTCGGACTGCAAGTTAAAGACTTCAGACTTGACTCGGACTGCAAGTTAAAGACTTCAGACTTGACTCGGACTGCAAGTTAAAGACTTCAGACTTGACTCGGACTGCAAGTTAAAGACTTCAGACTTGACTCGGACTGCAAGTTAAAGACTTCAGACTTGACTCGGACTGCAAGTTAAAGACTTCAGACTTGACTCGGACTGCAAGTTAAAGACTTCAGACTTGACTCGGACTGCAAGTTAAAGACTTCAGACTTGACTCGGACTGCAAGTTAAAGACTTCAGACTTGACTCGGACTGCAAGTTAAAGACTTCAGACTTGACTCGGACTGCAAGTTAAAGACTTCAGACTTGACTCGGACTGCAAGTTAAAGACTTCAGACTTGACTCGGACTGCAAGTTAAAGACTTCAGACTTGACTCGGACTGCAAGTTAAAGACTTCAGACTTGACTCGGACTGCAAGTTAAAGACTTCAGACTTGACTCGGACTGCAAGTTAAAGACTTCAGACTTGACTCGGACTGCAAGTTAAAGACTTCAGACTTGACTCGGACTGCAAGTTAAAGACTTCAGACTTGACTCGGACTGCAAGTTAAAGACTTCAGACTTGACTCGGACTGCAAGTTAAAGACTTCAGACTTGACTCGGACTGCAAGTTAAAGACTTCAGACTTGACTCGGACTGCAAGTTAAAGACTTCAGACTTGACTCGGACTGCAAGTTAAAGACTTCAGACTTGACTCGGACTGCAAGTTAAAGACTTCAGACTTGACTCGGACTGCAAGTTAAAGACTTCAGACTTGACTCGGACTGCAAGTTAAAGACTTCAGACTTGACTCGGACTGCAAGTTAAAGACTTCAGACTTGACTCGGACTGCAAGTTAAAGACTTCAGACTTGACTCGGACTGCAAGTTAAAGACTTCAGACTTGACTCGGACTGCAAGTTAAAGACTTCAGACTTGACTCGGACTGCAAGTTAAAGACTTCAGACTTGACTCGGACTGCAAGTTAAAGACTTCAGACTTGACTCGGACTGCAAGTTAAAGACTTCAGACTTGACTCGGACTGCAAGTTAAAGACTTCAGACTTGACTCGGACTGCAAGTTAAAGACTTCAGACTTGACTCGGACTGCAAGTTAAAGACTTCAGACTTGACTCGGACTGCAAGTTAAAGACTTCAGACTTGACTCGGACTGCAAGTTAAAGACTTCAGACTTGACTCGGACTGCAAGTTAAAGACTTCAGACTTGACTCGGACTGCAAGTTAAAGACTTCAGACTTGACTCGGACTGCAAGTTAAAGACTTCAGACTTGACTCGGACTGCAAGTTAAAGACTTCAGACTTGACTCGGACTGCAAGTTAAAGACTTCAGACTTGACTCGGACTGCAAGTTAAAGACTTCAGACTTGACTCGGACTGCAAGTTAAAGACTTCAGACTTGACTCGGACTGCAAGTTAAAGACTTCAGACTTGACTCGGACTGCAAGTTAAAGACTTCAGACTTGACTCGGACTGCAAGTTAAAGACTTCAGACTTGACTCGGACTGCAAGTTAAAGACTTCAGACTTGACTCGGACTGCAAGTTAAAGACTTCAGACTTGACTCGGACTGCAAGTTAAAGACTTCAGACTTGACTCGGACTGCAAGTTAAAGACTTCAGACTTGACTCGGACTGCAAGTTAAAGACTTCAGACTTGACTCGGACTGCAAGTTAAAGACTTCAGACTTGACTCGGACTGCAAGTTAAAGACTTCAGACTTGACTCGGACTGCAAGTTAAAGACTTCAGACTTGACTCGGACTGCAAGTTAAAGACTTCAGACTTGACTCGGACTGCAAGTTAAAGACTTCAGACTTGACTCGGACTGCAAGTTAAAGACTTCAGACTTGACTCGGACTGCAAGTTAAAGACTTCAGACTTGACTCGGACTGCAAGTTAAAGACTTCAGACTTGACTCGGACTGCAAGTTAAAGACTTCAGACTTGACTCGGACTGCAAGTTAAAGACTTCAGACTTGACTCGGACTGCAAGTTAAAGACTTCAGACTTGACTCGGACTGCAAGTTAAAGACTTCAGACTTGACTCGGACTGCAAGTTAAAGACTTCAGACTTGACTCGGACTGCAAGTTAAAGACTTCAGACTTGACTCGGACTGCAAGTTAAAGACTTCAGACTTGACTCGGACTGCAAGTTAAAGACTTCAGACTTGACTCGGACTGCAAGTTAAAGACTTCAGACTTGACTCGGACTGCAAGTTAAAGACTTCAGACTTGACTCGGACTGCAAGTTAAAGACTTCAGACTTGACTCGGACTGCAAGTTAAAGACTTCAGACTTGACTCGGACTGCAAGTTAAAGACTTCAGACTTGACTCGGACTGCAAGTTAAAGACTTCAGACTTGACTCGGACTGCAAGTTAAAGACTTCAGACTTGACTCGGACTGCAAGTTAAAGACTTCAGACTTGACTCGGACTGCAAGTTAAAGACTTCAGACTTGACTCGGACTGCAAGTTAAAGACTTCAGACTTGACTCGGACTGCAAGTTAAAGACTTCAGACTTGACTCGGACTGCAAGTTAAAGACTTCAGACTTGACTCGGACTGCAAGTTAAAGACTTCAGACTTGACTCGGACTGCAAGTTAAAGACTTCAGACTTGACTCGGACTGCAAGTTAAAGACTTCAGACTTGACTCGGACTGCAAGTTAAAGACTTCAGACTTGACTCAGACTGCAAGTTAAAGACTTCAGACTTGACTCGGACTGCAGCAATAAAGACTTCAGACATGACTCGGACTCCAAGTTAAAGACTTGTGAACATCTCTGAAAAACACTTTTTAATAAAATGTGAACTCGTCCACCGCGCTTTTTTGGCCAAGTCAAGTGTGTTCATAGAGGTTTCCATGGGCCAATGCGAATAGATCTAGATTTAAATTAAACAAGACACAACATTGTCGGACCTGACGTTTTATTGTTATCCAAAACAACTATATGTGATATGAGTGTGATAAATACATACATACACTACCAGTCAACAGTTTTTGAACAGTAATATTTTTTAAGTCTCTTCTCACCAAACCTGCATTTATTTGACCCAAAATACAGCAAAAGCAGTAATATTGTGAAATGTTTTTACCATTTAAAAGAGCTTTCATATTTAAATATATATATATATTAAAATGTAATTTATTCCTGTGATCAAAGCGGAATTGTCAGCATCATTACTCCAGTCTTCAGTGTCACATGATCCTCCAGAAATCATTCTGATATGCTGATTTGCTGTTCAAGAAACATTTATTATTATTATTATTATCAATTTAAAACAGTGGAGTACATTGTTTTTCCGAGATTCTTTGATGAATAGAAAGATCCAAAGATCAGCATTTATCTGAAATAAGCTTGGAGTCAGTAGAATTTTTTTTTTTGGGGGTGGGGTAGATTATAGAAATTAATACTTTTATTTATCAAGGATGCTTTAAATTGATCAAAAGTGATGATAAAAGACATTCATAATGTTACAAAAGATTTCCATTTCAGATAAATGCTGTTCTATTAATCATCTGAAAAATTCTACTCCGCTGTTTTCAACATAATAAAAATAATGAATGTGTTTTTTAGCCGCAAATCTGAATATTTGAATGATTTCTGAAGGATCATGTGACTTGACTGAGCCAATATTTTGTCCCAGTCCAGCCCTGCTCAAAGGTGTTTAGGAGGCAAAAATGAACTCCCCCTAAACAGTTGATTTCATCTAAGGCTGTGGCTGAAGTCAGTTGTAGTTCGTGTTTCTCTTTTCATAAGAATTTTTCCCTTATCGGTTACAAAAAAAGAATGAAAAAAGAATGCCCTGATTTATGAGTTTTTGTTTACCATTCAAAAAACGTGCCTAATATTTTGAACTATAATGTAAAATTCTTTCATATTTGACAGTATAGAGATAATCGGGGGTTAAATATTACATTCAGGCCCCTCATCGGACTGCAAACTTGTGCCATTGAGCCGTCTTGTGATTTCCATTATAGTCCTCACACTGTTCATGTAGTTTAAATCAGATTAAATTGGATTCCCATTTATGTTGTGATGCAATCTTTGCTTAGTCTGTTATTTTTTTGTATTTGCTTATATTCACACAGCCCACAGGATGAAATTATTATATGCATGCATAGGAATCTTTCCCCAAGTCTCATTTACTATCTCCCCTCATCTTAGAGCATTTCAGACTTAAGATATGCCTCCGGAGCTTATTACTAGTAAAACACAATTTCTAATTTACTGATAAACGGTTTAAAAGAAAAGAAACATACAAAATAAGACATGTATCTGTTGTCATTAATGTGATTCAACAGGGATTCAATCAATACGTTTGGCCAAAGTAGTGCACATGCACTAGATGCAATGAAAAAGCAGTTTATCAACTGAGCATTCGTATGATTTGAATATAAAACCACATATATATTTTTTCACGTAATTTACCATGGGCTACAGTTTCCAGATCAGTTTCCACAACAGGAAACTCAAAGGTAAAGAAGGAAAAAACTAAAATGATAACAATAATAAAAATTCACATGATCTCTTAGTCCTTAGAAGCGATCAGAAAGCAAGTTTCTTCGTCAGTAGATAGACCCTGGAGTCCACTTCAAAACCATGCAGATTATTAGCATCTCCCTGAAGTCGCATTAGCAGACCTCCATAAGACACATATGCAGATCTGTGCAGAAACACAAATCAGTTTAGAAACAGTGATTATATTAGAAAATAAATCATTTCACATTCAAAAAAATGTATTTAAAATAAATGTAGAACTATTGAAATTCCCATGACTTTAGATTTTATTAACTTCCATCACTTTTTTTTTTTTTTTACATCTGAAAATCACAAATTTAAAATTCTCTGCAGAGATGCAAACAGGTAAAAGGGGGAAGGTAAGAATGCTCCACATGGGATTTTTTAAAAAGATGTTTGTTTTGCATGCTCTTTTGTAGTTTACTTTTTACGCTACTTTTTTTTTTTTTTTTTACAAAAATCAAGATTGAATATATTTGGTCAAAATCCCATGTTATAAAAGATGAAGTGCTATGCAGTATATTTAAGACAATATTGGCTGATTAGACGGCAATGCTGACCTAAAATGCAAATGTTTGCCCTCTCTCTCCTTCACTGTTCCCACATCTCAGACCTCAAATACATAAAATATTAACCTTTTTAGACATAGTTTAGTAAAGAAAATACTATATAAAACTTACTAGCAGTTGCCAAGTGGTTATCAGTCTTACTTTTCCAATACATATATAAGACCAGTCTACCTTTTCATAACTGAATATAAAAAGTTATGACCAGTCTGCAGCCAGCCCCAGTTCTTTATTTACCCTTGTAATTTATACTTTCCCATTGGATCTAAGCAAATCTCATAGGTGACCTATTTTGATCTAAAAAAAAAGTGAGTTGTCACCTAAAGTTGAGGAGGTTAGGCAACATTTTAGATTTAGACAAGACTGTCTGTCTTGGTTTAGATCATATGTTTCTGGTCGCACTCAGTTTGTACAACTTAAAAACTTCAGATCTGAGCTGTCACCTGTTACTGATGGTGTTCCGCAAGGCTCAGTCTTGGGGCCTCTTTTATTCATTATTTATTTACTGCCTGTTGGATACATTTTTAGGGAGTTTGGAATTAATTTTCATTGCTATGCCAACAACAGCCAGCTCTACATGTCCTCCATGACTAACTCGGTATTTCCTTCATCTTCTCTGTCAAGCTGAACAACCACACGTTCGTCTGAGAAGTATGGGGTCCAGGGCTTTTAGTTATGTTGCCCCTCATTTGTGGAATGCCCTTCCCCAGGACATCTGTAACAGTGACAAACTTCAAGCTCTTTTAAATCGCTGTTTTATTGTATTTTGTAGTTTGGCTTGTTGCTGTTGTTACATTGATGTTATAGGGCGATTTTGTAAGGTGACCTTTAGTGTCATGACAGGCACCCATAAATAAAAATAAAAATGAATAATATATCAAATTTGCATGTATTTAGAAATGTTAAAGCAAGCAAGCAAATAAATAAGTAAATATATAAATGAATATACATAAAAATAAATAAAAAATGAAACTCACAGTCGTGTTGCCGCTTCTGTTGAGGTTTCATCTCCTTCAATCCTATAAACCTTTCCATACATGACATAATCAAACTGATCAGCCCTGCAAAACAACAACAAAGACCACACATCATGATTTAAAATAGCGGTTTTCTATGTGAATGTATTGCAAAGTGTAATTTATTCCTGTGATCAAAGCTATATTTTCAGCATCATTACTCCAGTCTTCAGTGAAATCATTCTAATATGCTGCTCAAAAACATTTCTTATCATTATCAAATGTTGAAAACAGTTGTGCTGCTGAATATTTTGTACATCTGAAAGTTTTGCATTGCATTATTATTTATAATTTATTTTATGGTTATATATATATATTGTTGTGTTACCTGGACGGTCTGTCATCCTGAGGATTGTATTCCCCGTCATCCGGCGTCCCATCCTCAAACAGCGTGCTGGCGATCACCAGTCTGAACTTGTCACCTGAGACAACGATACGCCATCATGAGGATGATAACATATCAATACAACAACAACAACAACATGGCTGAAGAGCAAAACGTTCACTTACCGAGATCAACAGGATAAATCTGGATGTTCACATCAAGGATCAGGTCCATTTTGAAAGACTCACTTTCACAGTGAAGACGAGATACTGATAACAACAAAGCAAATATAGTTAGAATTTCTGACGTAGAATTTCAGATTTTTTTTCCTGAATTTATTTGAACAGAAAGCAAAATGATTAATAAGGAAATAACGACTTTGAATAAACTAACTGAGAGATATTTCTTGGTCATGCTATATCCTATCAGACATTTTAAAATAGGTTTCTATCACAGGGCTTCCCTCACAAAAGCCTGTATTGTGGTTTCATAAGATTTTTTTGAATTTGTTTAACTTAATATACATTCTCAAAGTAGCATTTACATTTAAAAACACATTACTAAATATAATTAAAACTAATCCTCTATTTAAACTTAATTTTCAAAAATGTTTGAATGTTAGTAATGTATTTTAATGTTTTTAAAGAACACACTTCTTAATATGTAAATTCCACTTTAATAAAGGATACTGAAAAACTAAATTATTAAAAGATTACAATAAAAAGAATCACTGCCCCCCCCCCCCCCCCCCCCCCCCCCCCACACCCGCCCTCTTCTCTATCAATCAAACTTACATTAGCTTCTCTATACTGCGTTAGGCTAACCGAGACTTGTCATTTGCACTTATATATTGTTGTTCTTTTGTTTATTTTTGACTGCTTTAATTGTCCTCATTTGTAAGTCGCTTTGGATAAAAGCGTCTGCTAAATGATCCCATTAAAAAAAAGAATAAAAAAAAAAAATATTAAAAAAAAAAAAAAAAAAAAAAACCCCCCCCCCCCCCCCCCCCCCCATATTTCTTATTCAAGTAGTATTTACTAAAGCGTTTACATTAAAAAAGCATGGATTAGTAAAATACATAAAAGCAAGTTTAAATTATTACTTTTTTAAATTATTTAAACTTTTACTTTCTTGTTTTAAGTTTTCATTTTATTTAATGTATTTAAAATATATATAATTTAATGTAATGTAAAAATACTCCAATAATGGATATACAAAACAAGCTAAAAATATATTTTTTTAAAAATTCAATATTTTATTAATATGATATTTTTAAGTATTATAAGTATTTTTATGCCTTTTAATGCATGTTATTATATACATAGTATTTCAATATATATATATATATAATGTGAATTGACTATAAATCGCCTGACCTCGATCAAACTTCTTCCCATCTGGATCAATATCCTTCACATCGAAGATATCCTCGAACAGAATTCCAGCCATTTACACACGAACTGAACTCTAGACGGGAAAGTCCTCAATTGGTGATGTATTTATCCTGGTAACAACCAAAAAAGAGATTACTATTTCACACAGAGCTATGTTTAGCTTTAAAAACATATAAATATTATGTCGATAAAGGCTTATTCTGACAGTATTCCAACAGTTAGAGATAGTATCAGGTACAGTAGTACATCGCCAATTAAATAAACGATTTGTGCTAATATTACATACTTTCTCCAGATACAATGCGCGCAAGATCGTTCCAGTTAAAAATAGGAAATATCAACTGTGCAAGAAAACAACAACTTTCTTCTCATTCAACACAAATATGAAACATGCCGCGGAACAATGTGCTTCACATCTGGCCACGTGATTTACTACTACATCCGGGTCATGGCTCGCGTTTACGACGGTGGAACGTTGCATATTTTTTATATTTTACAGTGAATATATATATATATTAATTACAATAATTAATAATAGGGATGTGTATTTTTTTAGTAAACATAAGATATATATTTTTTATATTGTATAGTGAAGTAAAATTATATATATATATATATATATATATATATATATATATATATATATATATATATATATATAAAATATATTAAAAAAAAATA